ACTCCCCGCAAACATAGGGCTTCTCCCCTGTGTGTGTCCTCTGGTGTCTGATGAGTTCTGACTTATAACTGAAGTCTCGCCCACACTCCCCGCAAACACAGGGCTTCTCCCCTGTGTGTGTCCTCTGGTGCTTGGTGAGACTAGACCTATCCTTGGAGCCTTGCCCAGAGCTTCTGTACTTGACTTTTACAACTCTTGATACTCCTGCCCCTATGAGTAATTTGCCTGTGGCCTCTGGGTTCACTTTCTGGCCTGTGCTGGGCCCTGCCTCCATCATTCTCTCATGTGCCCTAGAGCTCCCCATTTGTCCTTTGGGAGAGGAGGAAAAGGCCTTTGAAATCCTCCCCAGCCTTATCCTTTTCAGCAAAGGTTTGGACCTTTCCTTGACCTCTTGATATTCAGGTTTGTTACTCCAGCTGTGTGGATCAGAATATTGCTGCTGCCGATTTTGATAGCCTGGGCAGGGATCCTCTGGCTGGACGCGGTCTCTTGCAGATGTTCTCGGGAGGACCTGAGACGGGTGACTGCATTCCACATGTTGGCTGAGGATTTTCTGACTGGAGAAGGCCAGAGAGCAGGAGCCACATGGATGGATCTTGGGCTTTGGGTCTGCTGAAAGAGGAAGCTTTTGGTCAGGTAGATGGTTTATCTCCCGTAAGGCCTGAACCACTAATCATCTCAGTGTTGACAGCACAAGCTCTGTCTCCCAACAAGTGTGCCTTTACAGTCTACTTTTCCATTCCATTTTTACTCACTCTGTCTTCTTCAGAAATCCAGAAAGCCCGTATCAAGGGCCTCTTCTACCTGTGGCCCTGACTAGGGACCTTCAAGTAGCATCAGAGGCAGTGTCACTCCTTATAAGAGGTGGAACTGCAGTGACCTTTGCCCACATAGGAGTATCTGAAAAGTCCTATCACTTTGTGACAGAGGGGCCACAGGTATTCTATCCTGTTGGGAGAGAACACTCTTGATGATAGGTGGAATCGCCCCGAGTGACTTCCTACGAGGGGAAGGAATTTATTAAGTTAGGGGCACTCATCCTGGAGATCTCCAGATGTGGAAGGCAGGGTAGGGTAGTGGTTAGGGCACCTGTGAGGAAAGCTGGATTTGAGGCTCCTCATTCACAGAGACGTATTAGTTGAGCAGCCATTGTGTCTGAATCTCTGTGAGGAAGTGGGATTCAAATTGGACAAGACCGAGTGGTCCAGGTCCCACTGACTAACGGACTCTGGCTCCTGATGCCCCAATTAGGTCATGAATTGCTTCTCTCTCAGTTTTCCATAAAGTGGAAAATGAAAGTACGTCCTTCCTCAGAAAGCCAACGAGTATTCACACCTCATTGATTTCAGTCAGGCTTAGTCCGTTTAAAATGCAGTAGGAAGTCCCGTTTAAAAATACACCCCAGCTCCTGCCCTTCTTCAGCCAGTCCGCTCTCCCCTCTCACCTGGTGATGAACTGACCTCTGAGCGGATTCCCCACTGCTATCTCTTTCCAAAAAATGAGCCAAAGCATCATCTTAGAGCAGAGAACATGCCCCCTGCAGCTGAAAACCGCACGGTTGTTTCACGTCACCCGGGGGGACCCCCATGTCTGTGCGTGGAGCACAGGCCCTGAGGCCTCCGTGTTCTGTCCAGCCTGCTTCCTCTCCCTCTGTGCTTCCTTCTTTGACCACCTGCATGGCCTCTCTTTCCTGCCCTGGTGCTGCGGCACTGGCCGTTCCCCTGCCTGGAACACTTTGCCCACAAATGCTGTCTCGGGAGAGCGCCACACCCCACCCCTCCGCTCACAGTGATCCAAGGCACTTTTTCTGGGCTACTTTTCTTCAAAGCACTAATTGCTGTCTGGTATGAGGCACGTGCTGCTCTAGGGCAGTGATTCTGACCGTCCTGTTCAATCTCTATTTCCAGTTCGTGGAGCCCTGTCTGGCACAGTGTGTGAACTCATGTGACAACGAACTGAAATGGTGACTGAATGCAAATCAACGTGTACACATATCATCTAGAAATATGGAGGAGATGAAGAAGAAATGGCTGAAGGTGAGAGAGCTGGTAGGTGCTCGGAAACTTGTTTTTTTCCTCTAAGCCTTTCAGCCCTATATGATGTTATATATTTTTTGCATGAGGGATTAAAAAAACTAGAAGAAAAAAATTTTAATATAAAAAGTTTCCCTAAGAGTCAAAGGCTTATGGATCAATTTCTGAAGCATCTTAATTGAAACTTTGCTGACTCCAGACTGGAGTTTACCCTGATGGAAAGCCGGACCGTGAAAGCTCCCCAGGAGCGCTTCTTGCTTTGCGTTGGAAGAGCGGTGGCACCCACCTCTGCCCGCCGCCACGAGCTGGCTCTTCCACCCGCTGCCCCACGGGATGCCGAGCTCCTGGCTGTACTCGTCCCCGTACCAGACCAGCAGTTCACAGCCCGGCCTGACCACCCGGCAGGTTCGGTAGAAGATCTGCCTGTGATACTGGAAGGCCACCAGGTTCTGCTCTTCCTCATCCCGGGCACAGTTCACATACCTGGGGTTGGGGCAGAGAAAGGGACAGAAAGCGCAGGCGATGGGTTCCCTCCACCCGTCAGACCCGAGCCAGCTCCTTGCCGTCGCGGCCTGGTGCTGCCCCAGCTGCCGCTGCTGCTGCGCGGGAACCTGCTGCTCACGCCTTCGAGCTTTTCCTGTGAATCCCTATCTCCAGATGCTGTTGCCCATCCAGGCCAGATTGCTTTTCTCTCCTTACCTACTTATCTGTTTTCCAAAGCCCAATTCCAGACCTGTCTCCACCTGGATTGGCCGTAAAACTGGTGACCTCTAAACTCTCAATGAAGTTCTGTTTTTATTCCACAGAACTTGGTGCTTCTAGTTCAGCACACATCCCTCAGCACTCAGCCCCAGCCTATGTTCTCTCGAGAGGTCTGTCTCCAGTCTCCCCACGTGCATCCAGGGCCCCCGATTCACTTGCCTCCCCCAGGTTCCTGTAGAAACTTGGAGAGCTCTCTGACTTAGCTCGAAACACAGAACAATAGTAGCTTATTCATTTTCTGCCTCCCCTGATGAAAGGAGGGGACCTTAGAGAAAGGGGCTGCTCACAACCATCCTGCAGTCCGTTTGTCTCCTGGCTTCAGAACCCAGTTCTCACTGGAAGCAAGGCTGGGAAGGTGGCTGCCCTCACAGACTAAAGGTACCTCCCGTTAGGTTATGGTGGTGCTGTGCACTTCTTGAAAAATAGGAAAATTATGATTAAATGTTCCTAAAATCAATTTTTTAATGTCTGTCTGCAGTGTGTCCTCCGTAAGGACATGGGTGATGTGATCTGTTTAAGTAATGGACTCCGTTTTCTAAACTGGAGCATAATAGTAAGTGCTTGATAAGTGTTAATTAGGTAAATAAGTGTCCCTGGTGAATCTAGACTCCTCAAGTTGTTTTCAGGTACCCCAGTTTTCTTGAGCACAGAGACGTATTTTGAGGACACATACTATATTTTTATTTCCTTTTTTCTGACGTCTCTTGAAATGAAAGAGCATTGTGTGGAGAAAAAAGAGGGACAGAAGATGTAAAAACCATTGAGGGGGGCAGTCTGAGAAGGAAAGGGACATGGGCTTGAGAGAGATGAGTGTCCTCTCTGGAACCTGAAAACCTACTGGACTTACCTCATCCAGTTGGCCCAGGACGTGTCCTTTCCATCCACATACTCGTAGCAGTTTCTCCCTTTGGTGATCTGAGTGTCATAAAAGGAAGTTAAAGGCTTTTATTATTTTTTTTGGTGGGAGGTGATAGAAGAATTATTTCACTCTGCTGTCATCAGTACTCTTCAGCCTGCACGGATGCAACTGCCAATCGTGACCACGCAATGAGCTCCTTAATCACCATCCTCACGTCTGAGTCTATTTGTCCGCTCAGGCCAAGGGCCCCGCACGGGAGGAGCCGCTTCCTTGTGCCTGTACCACCGTGCTCCCACCTGGCCTCTGATCTTTAAGTAGAAGTTCCGTGTTCATGCAAAGTGCACTCAGTACACAGAGCTAACCGTGTTGTCCCCATCCACGTCCTAGCATGTTGAAGGTGAGGCCCCCCCACCCATCCACAGAAGGGATGTGGAGGCCAGAGGACAGGGGAAGAGGTGGGTGTTTCTCACCAGCCAGGAGTATCCACTGTTGGCGGCCTCTTCATCTTCTGTGATCTGGCCCTCATAGGGGCCAAAGTGCAGACCCAACGGCAGATCGGATGCCTCGTTCCATACTCCAAGCCCAGCCTCAGGGATGCCTGATGGTCTGATACTTAATCCAGGGGGCAGAGTGAGGGCTGAGCGGTTGGGATGCCCCTTCTCCACTGCACTGTCCTTTACAAATGTAGGGGCCCCGTGAGCAGCACAGCTGTCAATGAAGAAGTTCTGACACTTCTCACAATCTGGAGGCGAGAGCGACAGAGATTAGGGAAGATACAGTGCGTGTTCCTGGTTGTAAAGACCTTCAGAAAGAACCGGGGCGCTCATGTCATTTGGCCTCAATCCTGTACCCCAAGTCACTAGACAAAGGGGATGATTTGGGGACCAAATGCTAAGGTGAGATTATTGTAGCAAGACATAACAGCCTTCTCTGTAATGGGCCAGTGGGGTCACTCACAGAGGTAGTCGTCATCCTGGGGCTCGCTGACCTCTTGGTATACGTGGCCCTTTCTTTCTCGTAGGCTATACATCTTCACTTCAACCTGCTTTGCTCTGCGTTCTAAGTTGGAGAAGAGTAGGTAAGCAAGGTTGGTGGGGTCTAGAGTGTTGGTCCCTGTTTTATCAGAAAATGTGAAATCCCCTCCCATCGAATCATCGCCTGTCCTTCTGTATACTTTGTTTTTCCCCCGTTTAGCTACTGGTTCAGACAGACCGAGGCTCCACACTGACTACAGACGCCCAGTTCAGTGTTAGCTTCCTGTTCTTCCCATTATTAGGTTTAGCTTCCCAACCTTTCTACTTAGAAAATGGTTCATTGACACATTTACTCATTCAGAAAATATTGGTTAAGGCACATTACGTGTTAGGCATTGAGCAGAGGCCTTAACTAAGAAAGCATGGTCACTATTATCACAGATGGATTTTTGAACAACGTGTGTGTGTCCGTACTTTTATATTTAATTTGATGTTTTCAAACACTATACGAGTTATGTATCCTTATGTTTACTTTAGAGATTAGCGATCAGGACCTCAGAAGACATGTAAGATTTTCCCAAGGCCCCAGTGCTAACTTCAGGTCTCAGATCAGTCCAGCCTAAACCCACGCCTACCGCAAGTCCACCCCACACACCTAGGCCATACTAATCAGCGTTTCTAGAAGAATTAGAGGGACTAAAGCCCCCAAGTTATTTTCTCTCACCCAGCTTTTGTCTAGTGTGCCATGCAGAGGTGCTTGCTGCTCCGGGAGGGGGCGCTGGGCTCTGCGCCTGCGCGGGGCCACTTGCCTTCCGCAGTTGCGCTGCTCCTGGCAATTTCTTCAAACTACATTCATTACTTAATGGCACCGGGGGCACTGCCTTCAACGGGAGAGTCACATAGTGAAAGACAACATGCATTTCTTTAGTTCTTTAGGGCTTATGAAGTGTTTTCACATGCATGACTTTAGTTAATACTCCAACAACCCTTGGAAATACCCGGGGCGGGTGGAGTCTGAACACTAGAGCGTAAATAAAGGGCCTAAGTGGGTAGTGAATCAAGACTAGAACCCATATCTTAAGGTTCCTTCCCTTCAACTTTCTCTCAAATTTCTCCGTAAAAGTGAGAGCGAGTCAGGGAGAATAATTGGGAAGAATCAACAAAGTCTGGGAAAGAAGCGGGGGTAAGGGCTTATAGAAAAAAAGAGGGGGTCTTCTATTAATTAGTGGACCTCTGATGGACGAGGAAATGTGGAAAAGTACAGAGGGGACAAAACACTTCTGGAAAATGAGGTGACAGAGCAGTGAGATTGGGAAGAGAACAGAGAAATGGTATGGCAGAAACTTATCTAGACAATAAAGAAAATGATGCTGAACGTTGCAGGTTGCCATATCCTAGAGAGAATGTTTGGAATCAGAGTAGCTGGTTCCCGTCGATTCTGCTTGAATAAGGCTGTACGACTAGCTAGTTCTCCTCAGTTTCCTGAACCATAAATTGGTATACATGCTAATTCTTGACGTTACAGTGGACATGAAATTTAATAACGTTCACCAAATTGTTTTGTGAGCTACTGATATGTAGTACAGTGTGAACGTGAGAGTCCAGCCCTGCTATCAATTCACCCCCTCAACTGTCTCCCTATTTGAAATCTAGCTCACAGATACTATCTTCAGCACTCCTTGACCCTCTTACTTCTAGGTGAATGTTTAAATGTGGAGTCACTCGTTCAGAAAACCTCCAGGGGGCCCTCAGGGGCCTTGAGTTGGGCCTGGGACTTCTGAGAAGAAACAGGGATGGAGCAGGCTCTCAAAGCTTGCAACGCAGGGGCAGGCTAAGCAAATGATTCCAAACATGACAGTTGCCTAATTAGAGCCCGGAGGAAGGAGCTGTTACTTTCTCCTGCAAGAATGAGCATTTGAAATCAGTTCCAGAGGGATGAGTTTCTGTTGAACCGCGGGTAACCTATATGAAGTCCTAAAGTTATTTTCTTACTTTTCGTTTTCAATGATCAAACTTGAAGCTAGTCAGGGCTGGGAGATGCTTCCTCTTATTAGAGTAGCAGGCTCTGAGGTTGGGGGTCCATCTCCTTCTTCGTATCAGACAATCCACTCTACAAATTGCCTACAGATCTGTAAGCTTCCCTTAGTCAGATGGTCTTAGCATGTCACTCACTTTGGCGTAGCAGAAAAGAACTGAGGTTGAAATCACCCGTCAGATGAATGATATAAAGATGTATGTATGAATAAGACAGTGTAAACTTTATAAAACTGTGGACGTTCTACTCAGCTTGTAAGTGTTTTAGAGAAGCAGCTTTGGATGAGATTGCACTACCAGTGACACTGGGATCTCAGGCATATACTCAAACATTTCTTTACCTCCGTTTCTTGATCTATTCAATATACATGGGGATAGTTACACTACCTATAGGTACTACAGGATCGTTTTAAGGTTTAAAGTGAGTTTATTCATGTAAAATGCTTAAAATAGAGTCTGAAATATTATGAAAATAACGTGAAAATAGAACAACCTACTACTGTTGCTATTCTTATTAACTATAAAAATGATGATGATATCAGACATTGTGCTAAAGAATCATGAAAGGAAGCAGCAGTTTCTAGGATACTCTGTGTATTCTCCTATTCTTACCTGTGATTGGATCCATGAGGAAGGTTTTCTTGTCAACAGGATTTGGGAAATACTTACCTTCTGGTGTTTACTGTGCTCCACTCTGAAGGCCACCCAAGAAGGTTTAACTAAAAGATGATGAGAAATCAGTGTTTTGGTTGGTAAATGTTTCCAAACTCTGGGCATCTGAATTAAGGACACAGAATTCTGAACCAGAGAGTGACAAGTGCAAGGATTACCAAAGGGGGAATGGAAAATGATTTCTGTATCATCGATGCCTATGCTTCCACTGGGAGCATCACAATTTTCTTAAAACTAAAAAAAAATAGACATAAACCTCATCTGTGCTTCATCCTATGTTCACAAAGTATCTAATAAATTTACTTCATGACAAAAATACTCAACAAAGTAGGAATAGAAGGAAGTTACCTCAATATAATAAAGGTCATATATGAAGAGTCCACCTCTAACATCATACTGATTGGTGGAAAAAGTGACCTCTTCTAAGATCAAGAAAAAAAGGAAAGGACGCCCACTCTCACCACTTCTATTCAACATAGTACTAGAAGTCCTAGCCAGGGAATTAGATAAGAAAAGGAATCAAAAGGCTTGCAATTTGGAAAGAAAGAAGTAAAATCAGGTTTGTTCGCAGACGACATGATTTTATGTGTAGAAAATCTCTAATATTCCACAGAAAACACTGTTAGAACTAAAAAAAGAATTTAGCAAAGTTGCAGGATACAAAATCAACACTCAAAAATCTTCCTATGTACTCGAGACTTCCCTGGTGGCGCAGTGGTTAAGAATCCACCTGCCAATGCAAGGGACACGGGTTCGAGCCCTGGTCCGGGAAGATCCCACATGCCGCGGAGCAACTAAGCTCGTGTGCCACAACTACTGAGCCCGCATGCTGAAACTACCAAAGCCCACGCGCCTAGAGCCCGTGTTCCACAACAAGAGAAGCCACTGCAACGAGGAGCCCACGCACTGCAAAGAAGAGAGCCCCCTCTCGCCGCAATTAGAGAAACCCCGCACGCGGCAACGAAGACCCAACGCAGCCAAAAAAAAAAAAAAAGAGAAAACTATTGAGAATTATACTGGAAAACCTATACATCCACCTCCATGCAGTCTTATGTCACCATTCTGCCACAACCACTGCGGGTCTTTTAATTTCTATTTCAAAATTCAAAAACAAAATAAAAACAAACAAAAAACTAACCAAGACAGAATGAAGCCACCTGCCAGCACTTACTCCTTTGGTGATGAATTTGGTACTTGTTATTCACATTCAAATTTTTATACATCTACGGCCTTTTAATGTACCTATAAACAATATATATATATATTTTTTCCAACAAAAGTTCTCATATTTATTACTGAGCCAAAGCACTAATGCAGAAACACTGACACAAGGAGAAAAATCATTTTTTCCCAATAAAACAAATGGATGCATTTGTCCAGATAGTAGTGATGCTTTCAGGGTGATACGGTAAGATGCAAGTGACCTTCCGCAGCATAAATACGCGTGCCACCTCATGGGTGGCTCCCTATAGACCCAGCTTGGTTCTTCTCCAGTGTCTTCTCTTGGAGCTGTACCTGGTTTTATTACCAGTTTTCATTTGAGTCCACTGGGGAATGGGATGATTCTCCTTTGGTTTCTGGCCCAGGAATCGCTTGATCGTGAAAGTCTCGTGAGAAGACATGGTGAGGAGCAGAGTCAACCGCACGTCGGATGGCAGAGAAGGGGAGGCTAATTATTTTACATATTTAAAAACTTTATATGGATAGTCTCTTATCGTATAATATTCTGTTTTGCATCTTGCTTGTTGGGTGAAAAATTATGGGTTTTTTTTTTGTTGTTGTTGCTAATGCCTGAGACGCAGCTGAGACCCAAACCCAGGTTGTTTTCAGGAAGACACCTCTAAATCTTCCTGGCCCCTCACCTTGCTGCCTTGGAGTCCATTCTTCATCAGAATCCTCAGGGTCACCCACCTGGGCTTTGATGGCCTGCCTGCGGTGACACATGAAAGCTGGCCGAGGGGCTCTGAGACCTGGAAAGGAGCAAAATCTTGGTTCCAAAGGGAAGAGCTAGAAGGAGGAACAAAGCCCAGAGGCGATGGAAAGTGCCACAGAGTCAGTGTGACTTGGTAGGATGGGCTGGGAGAGTCTGGAAGGGGTGAGCTCTGCACTGCCAGGGCCAGGCCCACACTGAATACAGAAGAACACACATTTCCTGCAGGTTGGTCTCCACACGGAAGGCAACTGTGAGCAGATGAAGCCATCTCAGAGAGAGCCAAGCTAACACTGAGACCGAAGACGTGGTTCACGCTTCCCAGGCTCCCAGGCACCCAGCATTTCCTGTTACCTAGAGTAACCAGTGCTTCATAGTTCTTTTTCACATTCCTATATCGGATTTTTTCCCATTCTCCCATCTCTGTCCATTCTTCCTTGGAGAAGTATATGGAAATGTCTTTGAAAGCATCTTTGGCCTAGAGAGAATACCGATTTCATCAGTGACTTACTAATCTAAGTCAGAACTTAGAGCTGGGCCCTCTCCTCCACCCTGTGCAGGGTGTAGCCTGAGGCCGCTGGGTGGTCTCTGTGAGACAAGGATGAAGGTTTTCCTTCGGACCGTGTCCTGCTTAACTGAGCAAACACTGAGCATTTTCCTAACTCTCCCTGGGCACACAGCAGTTGACGATGCTATAGTGTCCTGTCCCCCCCCCCCCCCCCCCCCCCCCCATCTTAGACAGGACCGGGCACCCCCATCCTGTGTACCTTCACAGAGAAGGTCACCCAGCAGTGCAGGCCAGGAGTCTGAGCCCTCCAGGGACCAGCCTCTTGTCCCTCCTGTAGAGCCGGCTTCGAGCCAGGCTCTGCCTCCTCCACCGCTCACCGTGGGCTTCCACGCTGTTCTCCCAGCATCTCCCTCAGTGCTGTCCTCCGGCCACCTGTCGGTGCTCATGGGCCTGGGACCGCCTCAAGGCCAAGGTGCCTGTGGAAGGAGAAGGTGCTGAGGTAGCCCCGGCCCCTGCCCAGAGCTAGGTCTGTGTTCCTCGGCTGGGGTGTCCCGAGCAGGAAGGTGTGAGGACCCCGGCAAGGATTAGAGGATGTGGAGGGTACTGATGGGGTGGACGGATCCTCGCCAGCCACGACAGTCCAGCCTAAGGTGAACTAGATTCGGTTTCTTTGGCCCCCTGCAACTCGGGCCCTCTGAGGAAAGGCACTGGGAGGGCTGTGTCTGTGGGTGCCTGAGGGAGTCCTGAGGAGACCTGGAAGCCCCGGACTGCTGGGCTGGGGTCAGGTTGACAACCAGGGCTCTCTTCCAGCGAGGGACAGGGACTATTTCTCCAAGGAGGGCTTTGGGGATCTCCACCTGGGGACTCCGGAAAAATCTGGGCAAAACGTGCGTTCTATGTCTAAGCCTGAGGAGATTTGGGTCGCTCCGGCTAAGGGAATTGGGGTTCCTCAGACCCGAGGGGATTCAGGGTCCCTTAGGCTGATGGTATCTGGCGTCTTTTGGCTGAAGGGATGTAGAAGGCGCAGGTTGAGAGAACTTGGGACCTTTGAGCCTGAGGAAATCGGGGGTCTCTCCTTAAGGGGCTTTAGGTTCTCCCACATTGAGGGTAGCTGTGGTCTTTGAGGATGAAGGGGTTAAGAGTTCCCGGGCTGAGGGTAGTCAGTGCCTCTGAGGGTAGGGAAATTTGGCCTCTCTGCAGGGGCTATTTTTAGGGCGCCTAACCTCTAGGGGTTACTCCGGGTATTTGGGGGGTCTAAGCATCAGGGGATTTGGTGTTTCTGTGGGTGAAGGGACTTTGGGTCCCTGAAGCTGAGGAGATGTTAGGTCCCTCAGGTTAGGACCCGGGGTCCCTCCAAGCAGACGGGATTTGGAGCCCCTCAGGGTGAGGGGATCTGGGGCCTCCCAGCCTGGAATGTGAAGGCCTCGGGCTGAGGGTTTATAAGGGTTTCGCAGTTCCCGTCAGTCTCTCCGCTGTCCCCTCGCAGGGCCCACCCCGGCCCGGCGCGCGCTCCGGCTTCTGCAGCTTCGCGAACTCCTGAGGTGAGGCGAAGCGAAGGGCGCGGAGCCGGCTTGTAAAGCCCCGTCAGGTGCAAGCCACCAATCGGTGCTGCGACAGAAGCGGTCCCGCCAATAGGCGGCCGGGAGGGTGCGGAGCGCGCAGAAGGTCCCGCCCCACCGCTCGGGGATTGGCTGCTCTGGGTCCCGCGCGTGTCTGAAAGGAAGCCTCCAGCGCGCAGGAGCAGCTTCGCGGTTTTCCCTGACTGGTTTTTCCGCCCGCCGTCAGGCAGCCCGTCTTAATCCTGGAGCCTCAAGCGGGCGGTGGGTCTTCAGGGTGGCCGTGGCCGTCTAGTGTCCTGAACAAGGGTCTTTGCTCCACCGGACTGTAGTCGTGCTCCCGAACTTTCTCCTGGGCCCACCTGTTCCCTTCCTTGTAAAATCCAGTTTTGGCAAGAACTGTTTGGGATGAGTATTGCTTTATTCAGGGGAAAACTAGGTAATTAACTAAAATCTGATGAGACACAAAATAAACAACATACGTTCAAAGATTTAAACGCGACAAATGGAATAATAAGTATATTAGAAAAAACACTGGGAGAATTTTAAATCTCAAAGTAGAAGTGGCACTTAGGAGTAATCTGTATGTTTAAGCAATGTAGGTCTAAAAAGCCTTCGGAAATGAGATATAGATAAAACCAAAAAGCCCTGCAAGTGTTTTCCATTAAAGTGAGGCATCAAATTCGAGGACAATGGATCTGCAGAGGGGGCTTCACAAGATAAAACGGGGAGAGTGTTTCTGCCCCTTACCTAGCTTTGGTCACAGAAACGTAGCATGATTTCCATGTGTTGGAAGCAAGACAACTGACTGTAGAATTACTGTCAAGGTGGGACCACGAGTGCTGGTTGGGGGTCTGGATGGAGAGATGTTACCAGAAAACTGGGTTTGCCTCTTGGTGGGTGTCGAGCCAAAAGACACAACCCAGCCAAAGATTGGGAGAAGGAGGGATTTATTACTCGCAGCAAGTAAGGAGAACACCAGGGATCTTGTCAAAACAGTGTCTCCCCAAACCCCCAAACTGGGGGAGTTTTAAGCTATGGGTACATGCGTGTTCATGGAGGGCCTTGGGCAGTAGGCAGAGTCCAAGCTTTAGATGATTGAAGTCTTGAGGGTCAGAAGCGGTCACCATCGGCCACCCTTAGGTTACATTTTATCTGGCGTTGATAGATGATGTAGATACAGATATCTATTCTTTTTCAGATTCTTTCCCCTTATAGGTTATTACAAAATATTGAGTGTAGTTCCCTGTGCTATCCAGTAGGTCCTCGTTGATTATCTATTTTATAAATAGCAATGTGTATGTGTTAATCCCAAACTCTTAATTTATCCCTCCCCCTGCCTTTCCCCTTTGGTAACAATAAGTTATAAGATTTTATATTCCTCAGAAATGGGGGAGCTGAAAGAGAGGTATCATTTTCAATGGAAAAGCATTCAAAAGAAGATTGAAGCTTCAGCCAAGATTATTAGATGTACAGCCTTGGAAAAAAATCACTTAATTTCTGTAAAGTTGAGCTGACAAATAAGACAATAACCCTCCACTGAACTTGCTTATAATCAAGTGATGGAAATATCAAATGGAAGTGTTAGAAACATCTTATTTTACACGAGCCTTATACACTGCTCTACGTTCATTACAGTTCGGCTCACACATCTGTTCACTGAAGTTACAATGTTCTCAAATTCTGTTACTGATCCTCCAGAGTGGGCCCCGATAAGGGTCCCCCTGCCCAGTGTCATTGGAGCCAACAGAACGAGACTGAGTTTGGTTCAGAAGCAAAGGAAAACTTTATATTTTGATCAGAGAACGGACAGGTGAGAGCGTGCGTTCCGCCGCGGGCTGTGGGCGGGGCTGCTGTGTAGGGATCCCGGCAGCCTCAGCGGGAGGGAGGGGGCGGAGCTCTCGAGGGCCGGGTTGGCTGGAGCTCAGGCTCTATATCGCGGAGTCTGCACGGGGCCCCGTGAGCTGAGGTGTCGACCCAGCCATTCTGCACCGGGTCTGAAGTGCCGGGTGTGGGACCTCTGCATGCGGAACCCTAGGAGCACGTGGAATTAGACAAAGCACAGAGGAATAAATGGTAGACTTTATTTTATTGCCCAGATTCTATTTTTATCTCCCAGGAATTTTTCATGGGCTTTGCCGGTGACAAACCCCTCCTCTGCCTTTTGTCCCATTCCTCATTCTTGGGGCGCTGTGGGTGCAGACCCCTCTTCTGTAACTACTTTGTGCTGAGTTGGGAGTCCTCATACGCGGGGGGAGGGGCAGAACTTCTCCCCAGCAGCCTCCAGGTGAGGTTGATTGTCCCCAGGCCTCCTGCCTCAGTGCTCGTCCGCCTGGGCGCCGGCATTGGAAGTGTTATAGATTCTAATGACCTTTAAGGGTCCAGGAAAGAGATGCGCAGAGACGCTGGAGGGGGGGGGGCCGGTTTTACCCCGCCCCACATTTGTTCGGCCGCCTTAGGCTGACGGTTTCTGCCAGCCTAGATGCTCTGACCGGTAGTCTGCGCTTTCTTCAATTAGGCCCCTGAATTAACGTGCAAACAGCACCAGGTGTCAGAGTCCTGCCCGCTCAACTCCCAGACAGTCCAGGGCCGGTGGTGATCCAGGACCATGACGGCCACTGAGTCAACGGCCTTTTGAAGTAGCCAGGAGTCCAGCTGGTCTCATCGGCCGCCGTCACCGCGGTGTCTGTAGGCTTTTCTCTGGTGACAGCGTGATATACGGTTCCCCCGCCAAGCTTATTAGCTCCCCTCTGGGTGCCGTAAGTCCTGCAAGCAGTAGTCTGCTCTTTTGGGGCACACTCTTGTTGTTTTCTGAGAGAAGCTCCAGGTCAAGTGATGGTCACACGAGTCGTCATGGGGGCCCGTCGCCCCCGGTTGTCTCTCTGGAGGTTGGAGTTGGAGGCCCTCCTCACTCGAGGTCAGTGTGCCCACGGAGCGACCCCTGTAACTTCAGGGCATGGTGGGTGGTTAGGATGACCACGTGGGGTCCTTTTCCCTTAGGAGGGAGCTGGATTCGCGGGCTGCTGATTTCCAGGTTTTTAGATACTGCCAGTATCCTGGCTGGATGGGGCGGCGGGCCAAGCCCTTGGTGACCGTAGTTTATCCTACCTGGAGGGCATTCTTGCGTTGTTCCATTTCAAGTGGTCCCAGTTTTTGCACTAACACTCCAAGGGCGATTCACATTCTATGGGGATGTAAAGGTCAAAGGGTTTAGCTAAATTAGGGAGTTCCAGGGCAAGGGTCTGAATCGACTGCTCTTTGCATTCTTGAAAGGCCGCTTCTGGATTCTATTCGAAAGGATCGTCATCTTTTCCTTTCAGTGTTTCATATAGAGGCCCAGCTATTAGACTGTAGTTAGGGATCCAGATGCAGCAATCCCCGGCCTCCCCAGGAACCCCTAAGCTGTCTTCAAGT